CAGCAACGGGCGTCGTTTTCGCGATAGAGATCTACGCTTCTGGGATACATCGAGAATGAAAATTGCGTCGAGTGTCCGTTTGAACGGGCATTTGCATAAGAGTCTTGGACGGGAAAAGGGTTCGTTCGGCGAGAAATTGTCCTGAAAACCCGAGGAGTCGTGATAATCGGTGAGATTTTAATGACCTTTCGGTCCTGTTGCGCGGCGTCTCGAAAGAGTCAGCGGCATCGGGACGGGTCCATTCACTGTTCGCCGGAAGACAAATTACGGGAGGATTGATACAGCTACCACGCGGCGGGGAGAGAGCGGAACGATCTGTAATAGTCGCGCACGAGTAGGAAAGAAAATCGTCTGACAAAGAACGATCGGAGATAATCTCCTTTTGTGACCGCGGCTTGAATCGCGAGACACCTTTGTGCCCGCTGGGACACGAACGAGCCGTAAAAAAAGAAACAAGATTCCGACATTTGTCTCCTCTTTCCGCACGGATGAACGAATGGACGCGGAGGGGCGGGGGTGAGGCGATATTTTACATACATACGAACACGCTCGGTTACACGGTTTCAGCCATTCAGCCGTGTGTGCGTGCGTGTGGAGATACGCCGGGGAGACGTACGCACGAATGTAAACCGTGAATGAATACGGCCGACACTTGCACCCACATGATTCATTGAAATTCAAATGATATCTCCGACGACTCTCTCTCCTCCTGGGCCAGTCTGCGTCCAAGGGACGCGCCTGTGCGGCTGTTCGTGCGTCTGCGTGCCCCGATAGGACGCAACGCGTCGCATCTTGTTGTCTGAGACCGGCTGACACCCCATGGAAACGCGCGTGCTTTACATATATGCTTATAGGCCGGTGAAGATATTCATTATAATAGCGAGCACTCGGTCCCGTGTAATATAATGCTGCTTTGGTATGCTAACCGGGGTCAAAATACAACTCTTCCGACGGCGTCGAGATTCGTGTCGGCCGTTTGTCCTCCGCGCGATGGAGACATCCCCGAATTCCAACGATCGCGCTTCCTACGCTCTCACCCTCTATCACGACCTGCTACCAACGCACGTTCATCGAAATACCGTCTCGCGAGCATCAAAATAGTCGAAAGCGATCGACGAACGAGCTATCTTTTGCAAACGCGGAGTACGGAAGTTACGAGAACGCGCCTCGAAAGCGTAGGTAGCTTAATAGCCATATTTACTACAGCCTCATCCAATTATTGGGTAAACACAAACAATCCGCGGGTCGATATAGTGGCTCTTTGGTTTTTCTTAGAGGGGAAACACCGACGACGGCAGACCGTTTACGAGTAAGTGATGCAGGTGTTGTGCACGGTCTAAGTAGATTAGTCCGCCACGGTTCTCAAAGCGTAGCCCGCGCGATCTTGGTTCTCCATGGTCTCGTTTAGGTTTCCGCGGCGCGATTAGGATTCTTCGAGAAACTCTGGGGTCGTTGTCGCCGAGGGATGAAGCTTCCGCGCCGCGTCCTTTTGAAGAAACGCGCGCGCGCGCGCGCGCGCGCTCCCGAATGCAACAGAAAATAATTAACAAACCGTTGCACCGATGCGCGAGAAACGAAGGGTGGTACAATGGAACCACACACGCTCGGACAAATCCCTCTCTGCGAACGAGCTTTCGTTCAATGATCGTCCCGTTGCACCGTGCCGTAATTGCGCTTCTGCATGCACGGGCTTGCTAATTGATCGATAAGCGAGAATACGGAGATAATGACCGGCGGGAATTTCCGCGACTCTAAAAAAAAGTAAAGGAGAATCCGCGAGAAGGGTTATTAATCGACCGTACGACTAATTGATACATCGTGACTCGAGCAGAGCGCTCTTTCTCCTCGCCTTGCAATATCGCGGTAATGTTTAGCAAAAATCGACGATCAAGCGAGCGGTTACGAATTATAATATTGCTTTTGAGACTGCAACGAATCATTTTTCTCATTTTGCATCGTTAATCTGTACCCGTGTGGCCGTTCGACGACGCTGCAACCAACACCGCGTCCATTACAGATAAAAATTGCGACACGCCATTTTGTTTGTTGCGCTCCGATGAACGCATCCTACCTAGCAATTATAAAATATTCGATAGGTTCGTGTGTGTCGTGCAACGTATTCGTTTCTATGCAATTTTTCCGTACAACCACCTCTCGTATCGCAAGGACATCGAAACTCGAACGGCTTTGTTTCGCGAACGAGCAAAGAGAAACAATTCCCAGTATTATCGTTACTCCATATTCGCGTGCAACGATTTTTTCCTCCGATGCGCTCAATCTGATAGTCGAACAATTATGATGCTTCTCCCATCGTCCCCCCATCCCCCCATTACAGCTATCGAAACGCGTAACAACAATTATCAACGTATTTAACAGGATGCTCGTTACTCTCCCGGCGGATACAGAGATAATTGTACGACGAAACGAAAAGGAAATTTCTGGTGGTATAAATTTGCGCGATGGATGGCGAAGCCATCGACGGGTACAGCAGCGACAACGACGACGACAGTATCGCGCGTTTCAGGCGCACGGACGCGTTTGCATAATGATAATGCATTTACATAATCACAGTGATAATACGGGGTGGGATCCACAATACACGGAACCCTGTATTCGAGTGTGCGGAGATGCACGCCAGCTCGCATACGCGTCGCAAGAACGCGAGCAGTTCGAACGTAACGAGGCCGTGTAGTACGAGGGCGCGAGAGAGTGCGTCAGTGGGTGTGCAGTTTACTCGTTGGAAGCACGCACAAACACTGAGCTAAACCCAGGACGGTGTAAAGAGTCGGCCGTACACACGTATATGGGAGCGAAATACCCGGCAATTTGCAGGTTTACGAGTTATTTCGCAATGGCTGCAAAGTATAGTGCTACAGTATTATACTGGCCGTGGTAGCCAGAGTGCACGGTCAGTGAACGGTGTTGCAAGGAGGGATGATGCGCGTCAGGATACGTGTAGGTGTACTTAGAATGCCTCGTACCATGAACGAAGGAACGAGCCAGCGTCTTGCTACCCACTGGTAGCCACACGGTGGATGCACCACCGCTATTTTATTGAAACGCAGACTTTCGTCCTCGTTGCGAAACCGAGAGAGCCACAAGACATCCCCGGCCCGGTACCCTATTTCGAGAAAACAACCGTCGGGTCGTAAACTCCTCCAACGCCGAGTACACTTTCATTCCGACGCGTTAGCGTCTAGTTTTCCAACTGCGCGAAACGTCCCTTTGGATTCAATAACGCGGCGAATTCGAACGAAAGATGCTCGAAATAGTTTCCTTTCGAACCAATGTTCGTCTTTTTTATTTGAAATGAATTCGAGTGTATCGTTTCCGTTCGCGACTTCGGTTACGCGGCGAAATTCGAGTAAAGTGTTCGAATAGACGGGAATCGCGATAAACACCGGTCGCGGGTACGTTGTTCGCTTCTATCGTAGCGAAATAATTTGCATCGTTCCATATTCCTATCGTCGACCGATAAAACGCGGCGGCGGTGGCGGCGGTGGCGGCGGTGGCGGTGGCGGTGGCGGTGGCGGTGGCGTCGGTGACGACGGCCATCGGTTCGCTCGGACGAGAACCTTTCGAATCGATCTAGATAGAGGGGACGCGAGGTTATATTCGTTGCGTGAGATCGTGCCGCGCGCGAACGTCTGCCCGCGTCGAAAAACGGCCAAGATCTCGTGGAAGAGGGGAAGGAACCACCATCTCCGCGAAGAGGAAAGATTAAAGACCCGGCAAGTACGCCCCCACCGGAATGATGGATGCGATCCGTGAGACGCGGGCGCCGCTCTTCGAGTAGGTGGAGACTTCCATTTTCATTCCTACGCTTGTTCCTTCCTCTCTCTACCCTCGGTGTTTCGCGTTCACTCGCGTCTCTACGCTTTAATCAACGATGCGCCTCGCGCAGACTCGGCTCGTTTCTGACATCGAACCGGCAGACGTTGTCTGTCTCGCGACCGTGAACCGTTCCTCGGGCTCGAGAAGGGGTCGGATCGGAACAACTCCGTATCTGCGGGAATCCGAGAGGAAATTGTTCTCGCGGGGGTTCGAAACGATCGGAGGATCGGCCGCAAGAGGACCCCATGGAGGAAGAAAAAGTTTAAAGGAATCGGGACGACGCGTACGCGTTTCGTGCGTCGTCGAACGAAGGCGGTTTGGTGTTTGTCGCAGACGGCGAACGAGTATCGGCGAACCGTGTTCGCGCCCGCGCGCGAACAACAATCTAAATGGTAATCCAATACCACACCCTCTTTGCAAAAACTGAAAACCATCGGCCGGGTGGCGTGGACTCGGCTGACCGGACCGACAACTCTGGCAAAAATCTCCGTGCGAGCAAAAGGCACCACGAGACGGGAACAAAAAGCATTAACAAGGCTGCGAGCGCGTCCGGCTAATTCTATAACTCTGTCCACCCCACCCACCCCCTCGACCCGTCAACCGTCTACGTTCCACCCTGCTTTCTATCCGCGTTACGCTACTTTACCCGTCTTTCTCTCCCTTCTTTCCATCCTTTCACCCTTTCCCATTTCTTTATTCCCCGCTTCTCACTCCCCCTCCACGTCTCCCTATTCTTTCACCCTCTCCGGGCCCGCGTTTCGTTTTTCTTGCACGCCGTCGACGAGCCCGGCGCTCGGGGACGGTCGGCCGAGTAATTATCTCCCGGTCGTGTAAAAATAATAATTAGCTCCCATCGTTGCATTAATTAAAGCCCCCACCACGCGGGAAAGCGTTCCCGCCGCCTCTTCTTCCCGCGCGAGAACGTTCGCCGCCCATAATTACGCGTCCCTTATAGCACTAACCACTGTGTCCCACAAAGGGCGACCGCTTTACACGCCCACGTCACTCGAGCGCACTCCTCGGCTCTAACCTAACCGCGAGACACGTTACAAACTCCGTCTTTCGAATACCGCTTTCGTTTCGCGACGCTTATCCATCGTATCGCGCCGATACCCTGATCAAACCGGGCGACCAACATAGATGTATACAGAGAGTTAGGTACTTGCCTGACGCACCTGTTTGAACTGCTCTTCGAAGCTCCAGCTGGTTTGCTGCTGGTGATTCGTTCCCGTCGAGTTGTTCTGCGAATGATTGCTGCCCTCCCGAGGTTCGCCGCCGTTCCGCGCGCTGCCCTGCGACGATTCGCTGGAATGCGAGCTCGCCGACGATGTCATTTGATTCCCTATACCACCGACGATGCCCGACTGCGGATGGCTGTTCTGCGAGTGATGCTGCGGCGTTAAAAACGCGGCCGGCGGCGGAAACGAGAACGGCAGATTAAATCCGCCGCTGCCCATCGCCGCTTGAAGCGCCTCCAGACCACTTTTGTTGTTCAACGCGTCCACGTCGTTCTGCTGCTGACAATCAAACGGATTCGTTTCGAACATTAGTCGCGTACACCGCAAGAGAATAGAGTCTTGTTACGCGAACGATCGACGGAATTAAGAAATCTATGAAACAACCGCGGTTGCGACAGTCTCTCCCGCGGCTCGTTCTACTTTTTCCCTCTTTTTTCGGACCAACGGACGTTTAATTTTCTCCCGATCGTACCCCCGTTTCTCTATCGGCGCGCGCGTTCCAACGGTTTTTCTCGAGAAACGATTCCGCGACGAGAATTAAACGAACCGTTAAAAAAAAAGGCTGAAATCTCTTTTTCTCACTGACCTCCATTTTAAGCTTGGCCAGAAAGTGCGGATGGTGCGTGCTCATCAGACTGTTCAAGTGCGTTAATGGAGTAGGTGTACCGGTCGGTACGGATGCATTGTCCGACGAAGAGTGTGTGTTACCCTGAAGTGGCTGCTGAGGTAACTCCTCCCCGCTCTCTTCATCCTGGAGGTCCGGATCCGACAGATCCTCCTCCTGATGCGACTGAAAACAGATCGACCGCTCTGGTTAGACTGGTTGTCACGACGGTCGTTCTCTGCGCGATAATGCCGGCCATTTACGACTTATTAATTTCGCCGCTCTCGATGCACGCGTGCAAATAATAACGAGCTGAATTTTCGATCGATCCTTTCTTCGCAGCGACGCGCGTGTCTCACGCGAGAATCACCAAGACGCTCGAGCTACCAACTTTTCACGATGCCACCGAATTAATTTCATTCTTGATCCGTAAACCCGCCACGAATAGAAATTACGGGCCAGGATAATACGCGTACGAGCGTATTAAGTAATTAAGGATTTGTGTTTATGAATCTGCGTGGACGCGCAACCGTAAATCACATTTTAAGCCGTAGGTGTGATAAAAATACAATTATTCTCGATTATTTCTAATCGTATAAACAGGGATCTCGAAGTTTGCGAGGAATAGGCAAACGTTTATGATGTACATATGTACCTTGTTCCGTGTTCGAACGAGTTGAAAGAAACCCTGGGAACATCTATGCGCGACATCGACGGTTCGGGTGCAATCGCGTGGGTAAGGAGGGCAGATATTGAAACATTAAACATTAATTAGGAAAATGGCGAATGAGTCGCGTTATATACGAGCAGATAGGCGCTATCGCGCAGCAGCATTATTATGCTACGGGTGTCATAAGTGTTTTACGGCTGTGGCCGTGTTGCACCGGTGCCGAGATAAAACTATACAAAGTGGCACTGCTGTGAACGGAAATGGACGTCGTAAACGACGCGGAAAAAACGGATGTTTCGTCGTCTTCGTCGATAATCAATTCCGCCTTGTAATCGGCTCGCGCTTTATCGCGCAATACCTAGACGAATAAGGACTATTATTCTTTAACCGATATCCACTCGGTGCGTTTTTTCCGTCCGTCGACTAGTTCCTTATCAACGCTAAGAATCGTTGGATAGCGGCATAAAATAATTACCCTATCGTTTTCAAAGAATTTAGAGAAAAACTATTTATTCCCGACGATTGTCTTTAGCGAGGCGACGAACAAAACGAGAAATTTAGAGGAAATGGCAGCGTCGATATCGCGTGGAAAAGGGTACCCTGGTAGCCGGTTATCGACATAAGGGTTAACACCGTCCGTCGAGCCCGCGAAAGTTGTTGCTTTGGCTTCGAAATCGGCGTTATCGCGGTGCCGACAATTGCTTTCTCACGATCGTAACGCAACACGTCGTTAGTTATTACCACTTTCTACGGGTAGGAGCGAACGCAGCCGCACTGTGCCATATAAGGTACCTTCACCCTATATCTTAAAAACTATCGAGTATCTAGGCCTAATATTTCACGCGTATCGTTGGCCACCTGTAATACGCTATCGCCTTACAAAGGCTCGATGAAATCCAAGTCGGTGAGTCGGGATTCTACCCTCGCAAGCCCACTTTTCCACCGGACCGAGGAAACAGAATTCGAGGGGCGTTCACCTAACCGGGCGGAGGTGCGCCTCCTTTATCTACGACGCGACATGCAAATAGATTCATCGAATCCTCGAGTGTATTCAAATGTCGCGGCGAGCGTCTACCTGAAAAGGGCGGACTTGGATAAATATATACCTATCGGATGCAGGTGCCACGGCAGAGTGTACCGACTTTCCGATCGAAAATGGAATTCTGATCAAAGAAAGAAAATGGATGCAAGGACGCGGTCTCTGTCGGCGTTTTGAGCACGTGTGATAATATTGACCCTTCACGGTGGTCAACGGTGGTCTGTTCACGGTAGATGGAATCCTAATCAAATACGAAACAAGCTCGTTTCTAGGGACAAAATTGTCGAGATTCCTGCCCTTTCTGACATTAAAACGGTGCAATAATCCCAGTGAAGGCTATAATTAATATTCAACCATCTCTTCCATCGTTGTGTCCGGGACGTGTATTTTACAGTCTTAAGAAAGCTTTCGGTCACATTTGTTGCATATTCAGCAAACTCCAGGAGCAGAACTGTCCCGACCTACATACGGGTCAGCGGACAGCGAACGCTTTGACGCGCCGTTTGATGTCTTTGTAATATAGTCAACGTCAAGAGTTTCTTTTTGATAAGACGACGTGAAAGTTTGTCGGGAAGGCAGGCACACGTCGTGGCTGACCGTTTCGCGAAAGATACGCGCGTAGAAAGTTTGGCCGGGAGAAAGAGACAAGCGCGAAAATGAATTACGACAGTTAATGGTCTCGTATCGGTATTCCCGACGCGCGTGCACGGGACTACAAATCACACGATCGAAGAGGTCCCGCAGAATGCTCGCGAATGGTGTCATTACGATAATCACGGCAGAGGCGATCGGGGTGCTATTGTTTTAACTCGAACCGGTCGTTTACGCGTGGGCGTTCGAAACCCTGTCTAAGGACCGCCAGGGGAAACGGGTTTCCTTTCGAATACAGAGAATAGATGATTTTTAAAGTTCGAAATGGTGGTTAATTGATAAAATAAAGTTCAGCGTTCCACTTTTCCCCGGTTCGCCTCTCGACGACGTGTTTCGCGATGCCACGTTTCGACGAAAGTCTCTCTTTAGGAGGAACAAACACGCGGGTCGATTCGACGATTTATTCTCCGAGTTCCGTCTCTCTTTCTCGTCCGTGATACAAGCTCGAGATGAACGGAATAAATCAATAGAGAACGCGGCGAGAGACCGGAGCGGTCCTTGCTTAAGCTGTACCACCCAAAGCTTCACAGGTAAAAACTGTTACCCTGGGCAAACAAGTGGGCGCGGCCAGTTCCTCTGGAAGAAGAGAATCACTCCCACGTTTCTGTCACCGGGAATACCTGTAGGTGATTGTGTCCCTGCATAATTCGTAGGTTCGCCTACCGAAAACACGTTCCGGGCCACTCGTAGGCAGTTAATCGAATCACAAGAGCCCCCATTCACGCGCCGACCAACCGCTCTTTATTAGCCGCGACAAACAAACACCTGTACACCGCGACGCATCCATCAAATTGCTTATTAAACCGTTATCTTATTATATTTATATATTTTCGTAAAAATTCCACTGGAATATTTCGTCGAATAAAAATGTAAAAGTTCCAGGGGAATATTTAGAGGCATACATGTACACGTTTATTTCGGAGGTTGCGTTAAAGTGGCCTATTTCGATAGAGACAGACTGCGACGTCCCTGCGAAATCGTCCCTCGGTTTCATGAAGACGTTTTAACGAGATTTAATATATCCTAGCCACGACAATAGCTAAATTTACCTGAGACCAGACCGCGACGCGTTATCCCTTGCGAGCAGCGGCAGATAACCGAGCGGGTCCGTTGTGATTTATTGCCACGCCGCCACTGTACGATTGTTTTATTGTTTATACCTTATAGTTTGCACGGTTCGCGGGTGTAACCGTGGCTTCGGTAACAAAGGCTCGTCCGACCGTGCGTTCATGCGTGCGCGTGCTCTTCTCGCGTACGAGCGCGTGTCCGCGTGTCCACGTGTCCGCGTGTCCGCTCGCATCGTGGCTAGTAAATCATCGCCTAAACGCTCGAGACGCTGCAGACGGCGCCCGACGCTAAATTTCCTAATTATTGTCGCGACTCGTCGAGGACCCTCTACTTTTTCCATCGCTCTCTCTCTATCTATCTAGCATGTTCAAGATCGTTCCCTTCTTCTGATTCATGGGAAAATGAAGAATTATCGTAAGCGATAAATTTACAGTCGAACACAGGTGTGCGCCAAAGGTAGTGTAATTAAAACTCGAGACCAGGATTTTCCGTTACGAGAACGAAGCTGGTTCGTAAATCCGCGCGTCGAGAGAAACGCGACAACGAAGCTGGAAGATTTTAATTTTCTCGTCAGACACGGGGAATTAAGTCCCGTGACATCTGTCGACTCATTGCGGTTTCGCAAGGTAACGGAAAATGGCGACGGAGAAGGAAGGGAAATAGAGTGGTGCGTGCGCGAAACGGGGGACGAAAAAATGACGGCGGTTCGGCAAGCAAACAAAGATGAAAGAACAACCGGCGAAGCGGAGTCGGGGTTCGCTTTGCAGCAACGCGACGAGATTAAACGGAGGTTAAAGGCTCGAGAGCTAAAGGCTAGAGTCTCGCCACCGAGGCTCGTGGGTGTCTTCGTGACGAAGTGCCGGGTGCAAGCCGGTGCACGAAGGGGGGTCGAAAAATGAAGAAACAGTACGATTCCAGGCGTATTACACGGACGATTAATTTGACTTCGCCTCGACTGCGCGAGCCGCTGCGAGATATATCGCACGGCTAGAACATAGCATCGCGTGATTTCTCGATTATTCAACGCGACCACCTCGATGATCTTATCCACCGTGGAAACGCGCGCTTTTCAAATTTTCTTTCCATCTTGTAAATCCTACATAAACGAGTTTCTTTCACGATCCTGGGACGTGGAGAAGCATCGCTGAAATAGTCGCTAAGTACGTGTACGTAGTCGGAACTTCCTCTCTGCGTTGCGTCAAATACAGATAATGTTCCACCCACTTATAATTAGAACCCTCATGGACGCGTTTCTCCGTGGGCCGAGGTATCTTTATGGAATATGGAAACGCGTTTTCGCTGCCCGTAATTGACTGGCGTAAAACGCGTTATCGTGAAACGTTATCAAAACTCATTTGGTCGGTAATGGAACGGACCTATTTCTGGTGGATTTCTTGATAGGAATAGTCTGGTGTTGCACCCGGTTCCATCGAAAAAGGTCGTCTCGATCGTGGGGACGCGTTGCAAGAACCATTTTACCTACGCGACGTGGTCGTATAGAAAGAAGAGTAGAGGGAGCGCAACGATTTAATGAATGACCCGGCGTTCATCGACGCGCAATAAAAACGAAAGTTTAAGTATCTACACGAGTTCCGTTGGGACCCCCTGCGGTGCTCCCACGTAAAGATCACGGCTTCATCACCAGATCTCTTTCTCTCTCGTGAACGTACACGCATCGAGTACCCGTGTACTCGTGCGGTCGTGAAATAAATTCATAAGTGGCCGATGATAAACAGCTACGAATCGAAGTCGTTTTGG